TGATCCCAAATCCCCGAAATGCGAAGGGTTTTGACCAATCAGCTATGGCCCCGGTGTGTGCTATGTGTGTGCTTGGAGCCCTGGATGAAGGAACGTGGGCGCGGGCCTTGCTTTCAGAGACTCCTCTCCGGGTTTCTGTCCGGGAGCTGGCGCCTCTTCCCCACGGCACACCAGTGACAACTCTGCCCTGGAACATGGTGCACAGACCCTCGTCCTCAGGCACAGAGGCCCTGGCCCTTTGCACAAGGCACAGCTGGCCCTCCGCCACAGCGGGGCTGATGGGGACTGCACGTGGGAAGCTGGGCTGGGGCTTCTGGAACGACCACCCCGGCCAGAGGCCCACAGTGCCCCTCGCACACGTGGCCTAGGTCTGCACGGCTAGGCCCGCCGGGGTCGGTGGGAGAGGCAGCCCCGGGTTGGGCCACACTCAGCAATGCTCGTCGCCTGTGCCCCTCCACACCCTGGGTTCCGTCCCCTGCATTCTTTCATACCCTGATGAAAGGATTTCACCTTGTACTTGAATTAAAACACAACACAGAAGCCGGCCCGAGTCTGGACTGTGGGTTTTTAGCTGTGGGACTGCAGATAATGTCACTTCCTGTCCTAAAGGCTCAAGGGGTTGGGGGACAGGCAAACCTGCCGCGGACGCACCCTGGCCACGAAAACACCACTGGGGCCTCAAGGAGACACTCGCACTTCGCAGGCGAGTTCCAGGCCAAGTGCCCACGACGCGTGGGCCCCGTGCAGAGGGAGGGTGTGTGAATGGCTAACGGACACTACACGTGTCTGACAGCGGTGGATGCGCGAGCGTGTGGCCCACGCAGGAGGGGAGGGCAGTCAGGCCTCGGTCGCCGGCCGCCGGGGCATGAACCGCCCACCGTACCGCACGCTTCACACCATGTGCTCGGTTCTGAGCCACAGGACAGGACAACCATGGGTATGACGTGCCTTCGCGGACAAGCGGGTCAGCACTGCCAGGAGTCAGCGGCTTGGGCAGGGCTCCAAGCCGTAGGGAGAGGGGGATGGGGATGGCCCCCGAGAGTGGAAGCCGGATAGCCGCTGATGCAGCTGCCCAGGGTGAGAAGAATTCAATGAGATGCTTGTTCCAGGAACGTTCTCTGAATGTAGACGCCACGGCGGCCGGGGCGGCTCCGTCAAACACGGACGCACCACGCTCCTGCCTCGCCTGCCGACGGCACACCTGAATCTGCTTCTCGAAAGGGCTTCTTACTGGCTGTAGGCGCTATGGGGGAACTCGAAACATTAAAATAAGCGGGTTACCATTTTCCTGTAAACGGAGGGACCTCGGGCGCTGGCAGGCTCCGTCAGTGAAACGTCTGCCTTGGGCTCAGGCCGTGGTCCCGGGGTCCTGGGGTCGAGCCCCACGTTGGATTCTCTGCTCACCGAGGAGTCTATTTCTCCCTCTGCCCCGGTCCCTGCCCATGCCCTCCCTCAAATACATACATACATACAGACGTACATACATCAAATCTTTCAGAAAACAGACTTGCATTCCTCAGAAACAGGTCTGACGGTTATCACGCCTGGGTCTCCCAGAGCTTCACACCCGACTTTGTCCTGCTGCTCTGTGACTCTAGAGTTTGGAATCTGTCCTGGCACAACCCCAGGAACTCAACCCTCACAGTCAACGTCGCCCCGTCCTTGTCGAGCGACAAGGGAGAGTGGCCAGGTGCCGTCTGGGACCCGGCGGGCTGGTGGGCGCGGTCTCTGCTCGACTCCGCGACTCGCCTCCAGAGAAGGCCTCAGACCCGAGTGAACGCATCACGGACAGTTCCTGCAGGAGAGACCTGAGGTTTCTACACAACCGGCTCGCGCCCTCTTCCGTCCCTGCCACAGCCCCCAAAGGAAGCTCCGTCCCAAAAGTCCTGAGGGAGAAGTGGGGATCATTCGGGCATGCTGTAGCCCATCCCAATTAATCTGGACACTGAGCGCCTAAAATGCAGACCCCCCGCCCCAAGTCAGGATCGCCTCTTCTCTGCTGCAGAGGTGGACCGTGGACACCGTTTCCCAGAGTCGCGTGGCGGCATCCGGCATCCGTGAACGGGATCAGTGTGTGAGGCCATTTTCCCTCCCGTCTTCCTCCAAAATCCGGACGAGCTTTATCCTTCTAACCCCCGTGCTGCCGCCCCGCGCAGGCGGGAAGGGGACAGGTGTGGGGGGGGCTGGCCGCCGAGAGCGGGGACACAGACGGGAGTTAGGAAACTCACGCTTGACAAAGAACACTGACGTCCTCACAGACGAGGGTGCTTCCTTCTGTTCCGCGATCCTCCTCAACCACTGCTCCTGAGGACGGTGAAGCCACTTCCCATGGAACAAGAGGCGCCTCGCACAGACCAGCCGCGTCCTCCCTGGGTCCCGGCCTCCGCGTCCTTCCGTCCCAGCTTCTCCGGCCGGGCCGCTCCTGCAGCGCCTTCCCGGGGCCATTCTGCCCCGGACCCCCTGCATCGTCATACAGTAAACTGGCCTTTCTGGGTGGCGGCGCCCGACTGTAGCACAAGTGGCTCGCGCGGCCACGCCCACAACCAGGAGAGTGAACCCCTTCCCCGCGCCATCCCTGCCACTGCTGGCTCTGACCCGAGAGCGCTGTCCTCTCCAGAAGGTCGCATGAATGCAATCAGACGGGGTGTGGCCCCGGCACTGCCGGCCGTCACTCCACGCGGTGCTTCCGGGCCAGCCGTGTGCTCGCGCATCAAAGGTCCCCGTTTCCCGCTGTGTCCCGCTGGACGAGGTGCATTCTGCTTATCCAGCCACCCTGGTTTCTCCCGTTTCAGGTGACGATGAATGAAGCCACACATACGGTCTCACACGGGTTCCCAGGTGCCCGGTTTCCTTCCTGTGGGACGAATGCGTGGGAGTGGGACGGTGGCCCCTGGTGCTGGCCTCCTGCCACGCGGCCGTCCCGCTCGCCTCAACAGCAGGGCCATGGGAGCGCCGGTTGCCCCGCACCCTCGCCGCCTGTTTCGCCGACCCGCCTCACGGGTGTTGTGGTTTCTTGCTGGGGTTTACTCGGCGTTTCCCTCACGGCTCGTCTCGTGGTCTGGAGCGTCCTTCCTGGGCTGACCAGCCGTTCCTAGATTCTCTTCAGGAAAGTATCTCCTCGGGTCTTTTTCCAATTTTGAATTTTTCTTCTTGTTTCTGCCCTGCAGTATCTTTATATACCCTGGGCACAGGTCCTCCATCGGCCGTGCAGTCTGCAAATACCCTCCCCAAGCGTGCGGCTTGTCTCCTCGCTGTCTGAGCTGCGTCTTTCGGAGTAAACATTTTAAATTTTGATGAAGTCCGACTGCACAATTTGTTCGGTTGTGGGTCGTGCGCCGGGTGTCAAGCCGCAGCGCACATTTTACATCTGAGAGGGTGCCGGGAAGGGGCCGGCTGTCCTGCCGCGGTCCCCGGAGGCCGGTCGTCCCATGGGCCCTGCCGCGAGTGCGGAGACCCGCTGGGAAGCGCCACCCAACTGAGCGCCAGGCTCGTCCCCGGCATGATCTGGAGGCTTAACTACAACTGAGAAAACACGTCCTTCTCATTTGTGGATCTTTAATTGCTCCTTTTACTCTGGAGAACTCGGAGCACGCAGTGCTGCTGCTTCCGTGTGGCTGAGTGGGCAGGAGCAGTTGGGGTGGGAGCGTCTGCACTGCGCGGGGGCACCAGGACGCAATGGGGCAGCACGCAGAGCCGGGGGCAGCGGCTGGGTTCACGCCCTGCCTGGTGGGGGAGGCACCGACGTCCAGCCACCAGGACGCGCCCCGCTGGGGAACGGAAGCTCCCTGAAGTCAAGCAGGCCAGCCCCACGATCTCCTCGGACACCGACTCACAACTCGCACCAAGGACGGACACTCGGTGAAGTGTCTGCCGGCGCCCGGGTTACGGTCTCTGGATTCTTTATTTTACAGGCATCCCATGTGTGTATGTTCTCGTAGAAAGGTTTAAAAGACAGAAACAAACCCAAGTCAGTTAACACAGCTCCTCCCCCGCGCTCTCCCCCTCAGAGTGAAGACGGACGCACCGTTTCGTGCCTGTTCTACCCGTACTCCTGCACAGAGCCACGTGCGTGTATAAATCCTGTGTGTACTGGTCTCGTCTGCTCTTCCCACTAACGGCCCGCCGGGCAGCTGTTCTGTGCCAGCCCAGCGGAGCCGCTACAGAGCGCGGTCCCCGGAAGGACCCGTCCCCTCGTGCCTGTGGACGCTTAGATGTAACCTTGTTCTCTAGCTCTCTGACACACAGGCAGGTTGTTTTCCAGGAGGAAACCCGGAAGCCTGTTTGCTTTCCCTACCTGATTTAATTAAACGCAGGCCTTAGCTATTCTCACCCATGATCTTGTGTATCAAGACTTGGAGAACTACCATCCTGTATGTTGACCGCAGCAGAAGCGGTGTCCGGGGCGGGGGGCTTAGGAACCACCCAGACGAACCAGGATGAGTCCAGGTGAGTCTCACACACAGGCACACCCGTGACGCAGGTCAAGTCTGGAGCCACAGAGTAGCTCGGACCCAGGGAGGTCCACAACTGGAGGCAGCCGGGCCGCCTGTCCACCTGGAAGCACGCAGAGAGGCCTCACGGCCACAGTCCACGAAGGGCACTGCCGGACGGGACCGCAGCGTGCGCCCTGAGGCGGAACACGGACCAGGGTCGGAAGGGTTGTAGAATATAAGCGGGGGGCTGGGAGAAACGAGCCAGCTACAGCACTCAGGAAGCAAAGGTGACCTCTGTGTGCAGCCGTAGGTTTCTGCTTTGACGGAGTGTGAGGAGTGTTTGTCAACGTTCAAACGTACTCAGCTTTTATTCTGTTCCTTTCATACGGCGGCACACAGAGCCATGTCCCACGCTGGTCACCAGCACGGCCGTCACCGGAGAGCAGGAGTACACACCCACACGCTGGGAGACACCCCCACGCTGACCACAAGGGCCCCTGGAACCAACAGTGCTCAAAGAACCCCCCTCAGACCCCGAAAGCCACACGGCTTGAAAATCTGACTTACTTTTCTATTAAATCCAGTGTGACCCCAGGCACCAGGCTCACGCATTTCTGCATGCAAAACCTGCAGAGAAAGGAGAGAGCGTGAGTCACGCTGAGGGGGCATTTAGCAGGAAATCAACAGTGCCCGGGACGCGAGGGCCCACGGGCGGGGCGGGGGCGGCAGCTTCTCACTCCCAGCAGCTTTCGGACTCATGAAGCAAACCCGACTGTCAGCCGGTCAGTGGAGGGAGAAAAACCTGGACACAGGGTCCGCAGGGAGGGGCCCAGGTGAGACAGGAAAGGAAGCCTCTGCCCAAATAATGGACACAGTGGCTTCTCTCCCCTTTTCTCTTTCTTGAGAAAGCCGGCCGGGGAGCGCCAGCAAGATGAGTGAGCACGAATGACTTCCGGGCTCACAAAGGGACACGTGGGAGGAACCAGACACCAGTGAATTCCATCATGTCACTTGCTTACCCAGCCCCTGACTGTGTCACACAGGGACCGGACTCCGCAGGCCACCGGGCCGGACCGTGAGCGCACTACCGGAGGCCGGGAGCCACCCCTGCCTCCTGCCCGGGCTGCGGGCACACAGCAGGGGAAGCAGCAGCCGCAACACTGAAGAAAAAGGCAACTTTGAGCTTGTCGTGGGAGAAACGTGAAACATTTAATTCACCTGCTTCACAGATTACATTCCAACAAGCCCCGCCGACCGCCAGGAGGCACGCAGCGGGTGCACACCTGCAGGAAGCACTTCCGTGCCTCCCTGGCGGGACACGAGAAGAGGAGGAAAGTCGGAGAAGGCCAGTGGGCCCATATGGGAGGGACAGGCACAAGCACCAGGCCATGTTCAGGGAGACAAGCTGTGACACGTGTGAGGCTGCCGGGTAGGAAGGGTGACAGAGAGACCAGGAGGATGGTGGCTATGAGGACAAGTGAGTCCCGAGGGTAGCCTCCAGGTTGGGGGGAGGTGGGGCTCCACCGTTGCCCCCCATGCACCGCTCCCCCACCACTGCTGTCCCCCCTGCACCACTGTCCCCCTCTGCACTGCCGTCCCCCTCCACACCACTGCCCCCACCGCTGTCCCCCCGCCCCACTTCCCCCCCCACGCACTGCTGCCTGCACCATTGTCCCCCCCATAGCTGTCCCCCTGACTGCTGTCTCCCATGTCCCGCTGCCCCCTGACACCACTGTCCTCCGTGCCCTGCTGCCCCCCCACCGCTGTCCCCAACACTGCTGTCCCCCCACACCGTCCCCCCACACCAATTCCCCCCCCACTGTCCCCCATGCACCGCTGTCCCCCACACCGCTGTCCCCCCCACACCACTGTCCTTGTGGCACCAGGACACTTGCAGCTCCTGTGGTGGGTTCAGGTAAATCAGGACCTCTCGGTGGATAAAGATGATCTTCAGGAAAGGCATTTTCCAGTCTAACCCTGGGTTCTACGCAAACTGTACCACTTTGTCATTTGTCTTTTTATCTAGAACGTTCTTATCCACTTCTGGATTCTAGTGATGACAGAATAATTTGTATCAGGCTAGTCCTCTTATCAGTAATAATTAGCTCTGGACAAAACACAAAAAACCACCACGTAAAAGCACCAAGAAGAAAACGGATGCAGGTAGAAACAGAAGAGCTGCAGGCAAGTGCACCATCACCCAGTGTGTCCCGCAGGGACGCCCAGTCCACGCAGCACACGGGGCAATGCTCCCCGGAAAGCAGCCCCTCACTGGCTCAGCGTCTCCCGAGTCCTGGCGGGCTGCTGCCCGGCACACACGTGGGGCGAGACTCCCGGGTGCCGCATGGAGACAGTAACTGGAAGGCTGCACTGAGATAGTCCACACCCGCCCCCAGGGTGTGCACCGGCAGGGAGAGCCAGCCCTTTGCTTCAAGAGGGCTTGATCCACACCTGGCCCTCGGCTGACCTCCTGGGTGGGGTGGGGAATCATGCCTTAGTTACCACCACGCTCCAGGACTCAGAGCCACACCCCTACACTAACAGCAAAGCCAAAGGTCACCGGTCCTACCACCAAATTGCCTGTACACCCTGACAGAGACTGCCTCAGGGCCTTTGCACTTGCTGTTCCCATGGCCTGCAGTATCTTTGCCCCAGAAAACTAAGATTTACTCCTTTATTTTATCTAGATTTCGACCTCCCCTGGCCAGCCAAAGGAAAACATCTCCTTTCTCCATCCCCTCACTCTGCATTTCTCGCTCCCCAGTGTTTTGTTACACAACTGTTTGCATCTGTCTTTACCACAGAAGGTATGTTCAGGGCTTAAAAGGACCTCTCTCTTCTTGTTAATCACTACAGCTCTGGTGCCAGGGACGGTGACCGGCACACAGTTCTGCTGCTTACCAAATACACGTGAGCGACTGAATACGGTAGGAGATTAACGTGATAGTTTTTATGGGTTTCTAATAGTTCACCCACGTTCTTGTTTTCTTGTCACTCTTGAAAGCAAGTAGCTTCAAGATTTTATGAAAAACAAATCATAATCATTTAATATTTAAAAAATAAAACCAAACCCAGCTCTGGAACCTCATGAAGTATCATGTAACTGCTGGGTGTTGAGTCTGAGAACGGAAAGGCATGAACTATTTTCCTAACTAAAAACAACAAAAAAAGATGTATTTGCCATAAAAAATTAAGAGGTACAGAACATTACAAGTGAAAATTACCCCAAATCCCAAGACAGCTGTTACAAAACACTGAATCATTCCAACTGATTTTGTTCGAGGATAAAAGGGAACCACTGTCCCCCTACACCCCAACCTGGGTGTTGCTGGGGGAGCCAAAGTCTGTCCCCACTGCCCTCAACACCGCCACCCGCTGCACACGGTGGGGGGGCCCTGCTTCCACACGTGTCCCGCTCCTGGAGACAACCAGCATCGACACGTGGGTTTTTGTTTCTTTCCACAAGAGAAGCCTTGTAACAGCTGTTTTTCTAAACACCCCCCACCCCAGTTCTTTCCAACATTCAACAAAGTTGGAAGAATTTTACAGGAAAGGCCTGCGTCCCTCCACCTGGTTCCACCACTGGCTTCTGACTATGTTGGCTTTATCACGTCTGTCTCTCCCTCCACGAGTCCACTCTCCTTCTGGTGCAGCTGGACATACCACACACTGCCCTCCAGATTGCACGTGTGTCCTTGATTTAAACCACACACAGTCAAGTGCACACATCTTCGCTACACATTCGTTGACTTGTGACCAATGCACACAGCCACGCAACCTGGACTCCGACAGAGAGCACTGCCGACATCCCAGAACAGTCCTCCCACTGCCCCTGGGGGCAGAATCGGTTCCGACGCCGCCTCCGACTTACTCCTCTGCTCTAGAACCTCACAGAAGCAGAGCCGTCCAGTGTGGACGTCCTACGAGGTGGCCTCCGGGCAGCACTACGTTCTCCTGGTTCATCCGTGGCCGCATGTGTATCGTAAGCGACTTCTGTTTCACCGCGAACCAGTGCTCTGTCATGTGAATATAATGCCCTGTACTGTGCTGTTTTGTAACTTGTCCTCGCATGTCCTGGGCGGTATGAACACTGGTATGCAGAAGGTCCCCTCTGTCAATGTTTGAATGAGCCCTGTTCGTATGGACACCAAGTTTCTTGTCCTCTGGACGCATTCTTAGAAGCGGACCTGCCTGATGGACGGGTACACTGGACCTGAATTACTCCTCATTGTCTGATGGCTTTCCAGAAAAGAAGGCCAAAATGCCCATTTTTTCACTTCTTGCCAACACTGGGTTCATTGTCATAAAAAAGGAAACCGCTGTCTGCCTGACAGGTGGGAAATGACATGTCGTTTGAATTTCCTTGATTAGTCTGGAGGTTAAATGCCAGTTGATAATTTCTGGGTTGTTGCCTATTCATGTCCTTTGCATTTTTATACTCATTTTTATACTCATTTTGTAGTCATCACCTTACCAATTTTTAAGAGTGTTTTATACATTAACAGAACCAAGAATGAACCTTTTGTTACATGTCGCAAAATTTTTGTCAACTTACAATTTTACAGTTGACCCCAAACCAACACAGGGGTGAGGGGCACTGACCTCCCACGCAGACAAAATCTGCACGTAACTTGTGACTCCCCCAAACTTAACAACTAGTAACCTGTGGAAGCCTCGTCAGTAATAATTAAAACATATTTTGTCCAAGTATCATATCCTACATTCTTAAAATAAACTAGAGAAAAAACCACGTTATTAAGAAAATCATCAGGGGGCGCCTGGGTGGCTCAGTGGGTTAAAGCCTCTGCCTTCGGCTTGGTCGTAATCCGGGGTCCTGGGATGGAGCCCCGCATAAGGCTCTCTGCTCAGCGGGGAGCCTGCTTCCCCCTCTGTCTCTGCCTACTTGTGATCTCTGTCTGTCAAATAAATAAATAAAATCTTTAAAAGAAAAGAGAATCATCAGAGAAAGCACATTTACAGAACTTACTGTCCTGTGTTTACTGAAAAAAGCCGGCCTCTAAGTGGACCTGCGCAGTTCAATCCCATGTCGCCACAGATCAGCTGCGTTTTAGATTTTGTCCACTGTTTTCCTTGCCGCACGACGCTTAAAGTCTGTGTTTTATAAAATCTATCCCTGCCTTTATGGCTTTTTAACTGTCCCCCCCGATCATTTTCCCAGTACTTTTGTGTGTTCTCCTTTTCACATCTGAGGCTTTGTTACATTCGGAATTTATTACATTAAGAGGAAGGGATTTAAAAACTTCAAATGGTGAGCCACGTGCCCCAAATAGTAGATACCAAGCAACTCATTCTTTTTCTGAATCTCACGTTCTTCTGACACACACAGACTGCTTTTGGAATGAGATCTCTATTCTGCTCCACGGACGTGATGGTCCACCCTCTCATTTCAACTGCGTCTTCGGAACGCGCTGGGGACGGCAGGACGAGCTTTCTTTCGCAAACCGGTTCCCAAGGCCGCTCTCAGACAGCTGTTTTTCCAGCTGACCTTTACAATCAACTTGTCAGTATTGTGTGGAATTTATGATGTAATTTAGGGAGAATTTATATCCTTCGTTTACTGGGTCTCAACATGTAATCATCTGGCCAAGTCCCGCTTTTATTCAATT